CTACTCTAAAATAATAATTTATCTTCTGGAGGGCATTTTTCCTCAAGAAAAAACATAGTGCACAGTTTACAGCAAACGCCACAACGGCTGAAAATGTCTCCATTGTTACCGTTAATATTTTCTTGTCTGATGTTCCGCAAACGAATAAATGCTGCTTATCCTGAGAAGAAAGAGAAAAGTGGTTTTGTTCCGGAAAATCAACGAGGAAATCTTGCAAAACCGACAGGTAACTATTACATTAAGTTAGAACAATATCTCATCAGCTCTGGTTCTATTTCAAAACATTAAGGCGTGTGACTAACCTCGTCAGGGTTAAACTTGACACAGTATGGAACTTTTCGGTTGGTAAAACGTCCAGTGCACTGCCCTGCAACGTAGGTGTCATGTAAATTCTACCAGGAAAATATGAATCTAAACTGGAATTCGCTGTAGCGTTGACAAAACTGAAGACAATTTTTAAAGATTTCCCACCTGTTTCTGTGTCCCAAAGCTTGACATATCTATCATAAGCAGCACTTAGAAACTGTGCTCCACTGTTGTTAAACGAAATGTCACGCACAGCTTTACTGTGACCTTAAAAAAAGACAACAACACAACATTAACACGCACGTAGACTACCAGCAGTCCCACCTTTTTCGTCGAGGCCCATCTGAAGGGTCGAAAAAAAGTAAGTGAAAAAAGGAACCCGCGGTGCTGTAGCATCGTAGTCTGACACACACTCGGGGTTACACACACCCTAATCTATCGCGTACTGAAGACCTAAGTCTGCTGATGCTTAAGGGAGGGGACTGGGAATTAGAGAAATGGCACCATACTATTCCTCTGTCAATGTCCTATCCAGTCCATGCGCTGCGAGCTACGTTACACTGGCTAAGGTTTAGTGATCGAGGCGATGAATAAGTCGGAACAGTCCTATGAAACCCAGCGAAGTTATCAAAGTTTGGATAAGGTACTGTAATCTTATTGGAATATGTTTCATGAAAACATAAAACTCAATAGGCCAGCATTTTTTAATGTGAATTGTGGCGCAATATTGTAAAAAGGTTAAACTAGACGAAACAAATGAAAACTCACCCATGAATGTTCTTAAACAGCGTCTTTTTCCGTAAACTTCCCAAAGCTTGAACCGACAAAATAAACAAAAACAAAATTAATAAAAAAAAAGTAGGACGAGAAGAAGGTACCCCAGAACGAGCAATGCAGCACACAATTTCGTAACTCAGTTCCCTTTTCCTCCTTTTCAGTTTCAGATTATTTTCAGCTTTAGGCTGTCACGACAGTGAAAGAGCCCCCAGTTGTCCTGTCTCCATCAATGCGATACTACGAACTTGTAATGCTGTTGAAAACGGAAAGTTTACAAAGTCTTGTGGTCAACAACTATGCAAGTTCTAACTCGTTAAGTACTGTTATCTTGCGTGTATGGAATGTTGTACTGTAGTCAATTCCTTTGCAATTTTAATAGCAACATCTGAAAATATTTGAATATTATCTTTCCCTTCTAGCTATTCTACATTTCTCCATTTTGATACCAAAAAGGGAAGTTACATGTCATCACTTTTTGGTAGAGTTTTGTTCATTAGATGAATTGTAGAAGATTGTAGTTTGGTTGTACTGATTCAAGGCTCTTCTGCAGATAATTATGTTACAAACTTAGACTCTCTTCTGTTTGGATTAAAGAATTCTGAGATTATCGACTAAGCAAATAACAGTCTGTCCATCAGTTGTACTGGTCAAACATACCTTAATTTTGCAGTCCATACTACAAGACAATAACAGGTGAGCTGACGTTGGAAAGAACCTGATGGAGGAGACACCCTTTGAGTGTCCAGTCCTGCATGAGATTAAAATCAAAGATACATTGTAACCAGTATTGTTAAAGAAGGTTATTTTTCCATTATCCATGTCTGAAGTACCCAAGTTAAAAAAAAATTATATTGGATATTGTGTAATAATTTGCAAGACAGAGAAGTCTACAGCAAGTTATGCAACATTAATTAATGAGCCTCCAGTGAATAACAGAGAGGTTTCTGTTTTTGTTTTATTTTAATAATTCCTTTTTAAAAAATTAATGTTTACAAATCACAAGGCAGCTATTGTTTCAAATTAGTGCTTTAGCATCATAATCTCCAACTACAGGTGTTCTGCGGCAGAAACAGAAATCCCTTTAAAGAGCAGGCACATTTATTCGAAAGAAAAACTGTAAAACAGTAACACCCTATGACAAGATAAGATGTATTCTCGAACAAACACTCAACTAAAACTAACCATGTGTGAATGTGTTTCTTTGGTAAATAACATCTCTCTGGTGGTTCATCTGTATCCAGTTTAACATCCAGATCTTTTGGAATGTGAAGATAAGAGCGACCTTGATAGTCCACAGAATCTTGAACTAAAAGACAATTGATAAATAAAGTTAAATCAGAAACAATATACATCTGTGCACAATTAGAAGTCATGTAGAAAGACTGAGGTGACAAGAAGATGGCTCCATCTTCAGTTCATACACAAGTCATTTAACTTTGTCTAGAAGAAAAATCACTGTCACATACAGAGAGTATGTTGAGGTTGCAGACAGCTTCATGTACAAGGTTTCCATCATGTAAAATCTGAGGTTTCAATAAAAGCCAGTTGCCAGTGATCTACCACTGCTATACAATCTCTCACCATCCTCTGTTTAGCCAATGAACAGGCTCTTTTTTGGGGTTTCACTTTACAGCAAGCTGCTTTCACGCCACTGGCAGCTGCTTATGGAAAGAGCAACTAAATTCCCTGAACTAGAATGTGCACCTACAATTGAAATTTCCAAAACAGGGGACCAAATGAAAACATTTTTTTTTTTTTGACACATTCCCTTACCATGAAGAGTGGTCTTTTCTTCCACAACTTGTTCTTCATTCTTAGTTCTCTTTTGTTTTGTCATCTCAAATTCCTCAAGTTTAGCTGCTTGTTCCTTGAGAAAGATACAATAATTTTAAAAACTCTGCAAGTGTCAATTTATACATTTAATGTTGCTTAAAAACTTAAATCCTCCTAATCTCACCTCAGAAGGCTTAGCAACTTTGGCTTCATCAACAAATGTTGCCCATGGACCTAAAAGGGAAGGTTACAGCTGTATGTCATTGAGTCTTGTATGCAAGAATTTGAAAGATATCACAAAAACAGAATGGAATAATAAGATAAAGGAAAACTGCATAGCTGTGTCAAAGTGATATGGTAAAATTTTGGTCCCAAATTCAATAAAATATTTCAAAAAAACTATGAACAATGTTGTTCTTTCTTTGCACTCTTTACCTTTGTATCCTTCAATGTCTCCAGGATCACCAGGCTTTTCTCGTTTTCTCTTGTCACCTGGGCGAGCTTCTGCTGCTTCAAATATTGTCAGGCCTGGAGAAAATACTTTCTTGGTTATAAGGTGCACTCAGTTAGAAGACGCACCCCAAACTTAGCAACTTAGTCAAGCCAAGTTCCCAAACTGAAAATTATGTGAAAATACTCAGTAATAAGATGCACCAAAAGGTTGAGAGTTAACAAAAGTTGTAATGGATCTGAGAAAGTTTCACAGTTGCTCTGGCAGTGAAAGCAAATGGCGAAAAATTCCCACGAAAAGTCATAATCAAAGGTGTTCGACAGCTGAATATCAACACGCCACCAAGGATGCCAGTTTCAGTGCATAAAAAAGGCTGGATGGAAGAAGAAGGCAGGTTTTATATCCACATCATTTATTCAGAGGAACTTTTCAAGCACGTGACAAAAACACGATTCTAGGAATTTGAAATGAGGTTTTTTTATCATGGATATCACGTTACCAAGTGTTAAGAAAGTATGCAAATTTCCGTTTGTTTGCTTCTCTGTTTTCCTCTTTTTAACTGTAAGTTCTGCTAAAAGTTGTGATCTTAAGATTTAGTTGCACAAAAATACTTGGCCATAAGACACACCCCAATTTCAGCACTAACTTTCCACCCAAGACAGAATTTTCTTCAAAAAACCGTGCGCCTTATAACCGAGAAAATAAGGTAAATCAAATCCTATGTAACAGTTCTACCACAATTAATGTGCTAAAGAAATGGAAAAATAAGCAAGGGATCACCCAGTCTAAACAAACTAAAATTAATCAGAAATGTTGAGTTTTTCCTCGCTTGCATTTAAGGTACATACCTTTCTTCTCCTCTGCTTTTTCAACATCTCCAACAAACCTATTCATACATTATAATGGATCAATGAATAACTATTGATTTGTACAAATAAAAATTAATATTTCAGCCACCATTTGGTGGTTTATGTTGCTGTCTGTCCTTTGTGTTGGGATATTCCTTTTAAGTCTTTAGGTAAAAGATGAAAAATTGCATTCTACCTGTACATGTAATTCAAAACACTCTGCAAACCTCTCTCCTTTCTATACTGTAATATTAAGAAGCAGGACGAGACAAATATAAATGTCAACAGAACGACAGATCTTCTTTTAATCAAGATGGCGGATCTCTCCCCATGTGCTAGTCATGTGACATACGTACACATAACACACAGGGATACCACACTACACCTCCCCTTAAAGCTTTTACAGTAATCAAACAGACAATTATAAACAACATATCAAACAGTATAAGGGTCTACTGTAAACAAAAGCAATGTTCAAATGTTCAACGTTCAAGTGTCCTGAATAAGTCTCTGTGGCAGTTTCACTACTCTCCCTGAGCGCATCATGTGCACTTTCGGGGTGTCTGGTTCAGCTTTGTAGCAGCTCTCAGTAGGCTTGAACACAGCTGTGGTCAGGTCTTTGCTGGTGGGCACTTTTTGATTTTTCCTCAGCATTTCTGTCTCAACGTTAGCTTCTGGTTGGGTGTCGGGTGTCTTTGTACAGGTATCTGCTGAAACTAGGGCTGGCCTGTTCCTTCGAAGCTGTGTTCCCTTGTCTGTTTCAAATATGTAGGATCGTGGTGATGAAGATGCCGCTAGGACTCTTCCCATCTGATCTTGATCGCGTATCCAAACTTTCTCTCCACTCTGAAGTTCTGGTAGGTCTTTTGCCTTGTATCTGCGGTCATGGTTGCTTTTCTGGTTGCTGCGGTACAGTTCCTCTTTTGCATCTAGTTTTGCCAGGTCTTTCAGTCGTAGGTTTGGTTGTAGATTGTCAGGGAAGGTTGGTAACTGGGTGCGGAGTTGGCGGTTCATCAGAAGTTCGCATGGCGCCAGGCCATTGTGAAGAGGTGCTGTTCGGTATGCTAGAAAACCGAGATAGGGATCATCGTTCTTTTTCAGGATATCCTTGACAGTACGTACCGCTCTCTCTACTTCACCATTTCCTCTTGCGTACGTTGGCGAGCTAGTAATATGAGTGAACCCGTAAATACTTGCAAACAGTTGGAAGGATTTACAAGCAAACTGTGGGCCGTTATCGGACACCAGTAAGTCTGGAATTCCGTGAGTTGAAAATATTTCTTTCAGGGCTTTGATTATTGGCTCGGGCTTTGATTACTGACTCGGACAATTCACTTGGAAGTGCTTTAACTTCAGTCCACCTTGAGTAGTAGTCAACTACAATAAGATGTTTCTTTCCCTTTAGATCAAAGAGATCAGCGGCTAGTCTTTCCCATGGCTTGGATGGGAATGACGATGGCATCAGGGGCTCCTTGGGCACTGGTCTGTTCTTAGCATACGTAAAACATTTCGTCACCATGCCTGCTATCGCTGTAGTAATCGCCGGCCACCACACAGACATCTTGCCTCGTGCTTGCGTCTTTGTTATCCCAAGGTGTCCTTGATGTAAGAGGTCAAGTATTTCCAGCCTCATTCCTGCTGGAATCACAATACCGTCATCATATAGTAGAATCTTGTCTATTACAGTTAAATGTTTCTTATTCTCCCAGTATGAACGGAGTATGGTAGAACTTGGCATGTATGCCGGCCATCCTTCTAGGCAGTACTTCTTGATCATCCTGCATACTTCATCCTGGTCTTGGGCTCCACTGATATCTTGCAGCTGCTTAGGCATTACTGGAAGCCCTGCTACGATCTGTTGTGTGAAGCTTTCCACTTCCTCCACAAGATGTATGTTCTCATTTACATTCTTCTTGATGGGGGCGCATGACAATGTGTCTGCGGTAATTTGTTCCTTGCCGGGTACGTATACAACGTCGAGTTCGTACCTCATGAGACGCATTCTGAATCTTAAGATGCGTGGTGGCATTTTGGAGAGATCAGTTGAAGTGAAAAGGGGTACTAGTGGCTTGTGGTCGGTTTCCACTGTAAACTTCATTCCGAGTACATAGTCGGAAAACTTTTCACAAGCCCATGTCACAGCCAGGGCCTCTTTCTCAATGACTGCGTACCTTTTCTCAGTTTCTTAGAGGGATCTAGATGCATAGTACACCGGCTTCCTGGTACCGTCCTCTTGGAGCTGTAGAAGAACAGCCCCAAATCCAAAGTTAGAGGCATCGCTTGAGATGACTGTAGGACGACTTGGGTCATAGTGGGCAAGGTTTGTTGCAGATGTCAGTTCATTCTTGATTCCTTCAAATGACTGCTGTTAGGCTTTATCCCATTTCCACGTGTTCTCTTTTTTTAGGAGTTGTCGTAGTGGTTTGTTGAGATTGGCCAGGTTTGGTATAAACTTTGCCATTTGATTGACCATTCCCATGAAGCGTTGGAGGTCGTTGACTTTCTGTGGGACTGGGAAATTGCGTATAGCTTCAGTTTTGGCTGGGTCTGGACAGATGCCTTTTTCATCAATAATATGTCCCAGGAATTTTACAGAATGTTTAGAAAACCCACATTTCTCGTTGAGCGTCACTCCGGCTACCTGTAGCCGCTTAAGGACAGTTCTCAGTCGTTCATCATGCTCCGCTTGTGTTGCTGCATGTACAAGGTGTCATCAATATGGCATACAACTCCCTTGAGGTCCCCCAGGATACTAGTCATGGTGCGCTGGAAGACTTCCAGGGCTGAGGTGATCCCAAAGGGAAGACGATTAAAACAGTAACGACCGTATGGCGTGATGAAGGTTGTAAGTAGGCGGGACACCTTGTTGAGAGGGAGTTGCCAAAATCCGCTGTTAGCGTCGAGTTTGCTAAAGACTCTACTTTTACTCAGCTTTGCTGGGCTTTCATCTACAGAATACATTGGATGGACCTCTCTCTTAACGCTTTTGTTGAGTTGGACTAGGTCTACGCAGATGCGAACTTTTCCATTTGGCTTGAGGACTGGGAATATCCCTGAGCACCATTCGGTCGGCTTCGTAACTGGGGAGATGACTCCTTCTTGAATCATCCTCTCTAATTCCTCCTTTACTTTAAGGAGTAATGGGTGGGGAACTCCTCTTGGTGTGTACAGGTACACTGGCTGGGCGTCAGGTTTAAGAGCAATACGATACTCTGTTGTCATCTTCCCGAGTCTGGTGAACAACTTTGGGAATTCCGTTCTAAAGTAAGGTACTTGCGTACTCAGTTCTTCAACGTCTGCATCGAGGCATTGGGCAAGACCGAGATCGACAAAGGCTCGTCTGCTGAGGAGCGAAGATGACTGGTTCTTAATGACGTAAACTCGTTTTTGGATCTTGTATTGTCTGTACTTAATCGTGGCTAGGAATGATCCAGTAACAGGTAGGCGGGTCCCCCCCTGCCCCATGAGTGTTTGCTGGACATTCTCCAAAGGCTGATTCTTTAACCAGGGTAATGAGTCACCAACAACGGATACAGATGCGCCAGTATCTAGCTTGCAGAGAGTGACGTATTCATTCATCCCCACTTGAACGATCCAGCTGTTTTCCCCCCCTTGGATTTCTCCTAGAAAGGGAATGTCATGATTTTCCTCTTCAATTTCATGTACTTTTTTCTTTTGTTGTGACTGCTCGCTGTTTTGGCTTCGACAAACTGCTTGAAAATGGCCCCTCTTCTTGCATTTTAAGCAGGTGGCATTCCTAGCCGGGCATTGCTTCCGGTCTTGGTGTGGGTGGTTACCACACCAGGAGCACTTGTTGATACTCTGAGGGGGTTGTTTTTTCCTGGGGTGTTTTTGCTTATTATTCTGGCTTGCACGCTTGACCAGGTTTACGGAGTTTGTGCTAGTTAGTGTATTTCCCCGTACAACCTCTCTACTTTGTTGTCTGGCTTCTGCCTGTCTACTAATTTGAAATGCTTCTTCTAATTTTAGCTTCAATTTGGATTGAAGTCGATCAGAAAGTGCATCTTCTAACACTCCGACAATTATTCTAACACGAATAAGTTCATTTTTGAGTAAACCATACTCACAGTCATCCGCAAGTCTGTATAGATCTTGTATAAACGAATCCACAGGTTCTCCTGGTTTTTGGACTCTTTAATTGAATTTGGCGCGCTCAACCAGCACGTTGCGACAGATTTCATAGTACTCGTTAAGGGCTGTTTTCACCTTTTTGTACGAAGCTTGTTCTTCATCGATATTTAGGGTTTTAAGAATATCATCGGTGCATTCACCCATCGCGTAGAGTAGAGTTCTGCCTTGCTCGATGTCTGGTTTATGTTTGAGGCCAGATGCAATCCGATATCATTCGAAACGACGAAACCATTTCGACCAAAGTTCAGCTTGTTGTGGTGAATTTACTCCCCTGAATTTTTCCAGAGGAGGGAGATTATTCACCGTTTGAGCTTGAAGTTGAATTAGTCCAGGATTAGAATCTTCTGTATTAGGCATTATGTAGGGCTAACACCGCTGCCACCATGTAATATTAAGAAGCAGGACGAGACAAATATAAATGTCAACAGAACGACAGGTCTTCTTTTAATCAAGATGGCCGATCTCTCCCCATGTGCTAGTCACGTGACATACGTACACATAATACACAGGGATACCATACTACATATACCTTGAAACTTAACCCAAGGGATGCAATTTTTCTGCTGTGCAAGACTATGTTAAAAATGCTTGATTGGCCTTAATCAAACCTGGGGCAAAATGCTTCATGTAATTTTTACAAAAATCTGTGAAGTCAAACCTTTCCCCACTTGTGCTGGCCCCTCCTGTTACACTTGGATCCAGGGCATAACCTGACAGATTTTGTACAACAAAAATCAAATTTAAATAATTCTTTAAATTACTGAGTAAAACTCTACAAGCTTTCTACAGTTCATTTGAAGATCTGTCAGTAATTTCAGATTGTACTATAAACAACGATTTAAATAACACTTCCAGATATAAGAAAGAAAGAAACAAAATATAAGATGAATCAGACTTTTAGTTAACCCTTCAAGCCCTGGGAGTGATTAGCATTTAGTTTCTCCTTACACTACCAACCTTGAATTAAACATTAAGGTCACAAGAATAATTATAGGAAATGATCACCAACTAAAGAAGCTCCTGATTGTTAAACAAATTCTCCTTGTCAGCAGCTTAGAAAATGTATGGAGAACAGTATAGAGAATATACATACTGTTGTTAAGGTGGAAAGAGTTAAAGGAAGTTTAGTGTCAGTAGAGACTCATTCCACCTGCCTATACTGCCTGCTGATACCATTCAATAAATACACTGAATAATCAGTTCTTCGTATTGACAAAGATTTATTAATACATGGACAGGTAAAAACAAGCAATATAATATCCTGACATTTCGGCGACTTCATGACGCCATTATCAAGAGAACAAATGAAAATATAATTAACAAACACGAGTTCAAGTTCAAGAGAAACAACTAATTTACATAGGGGAGGTAGCTATACAAATACTTTAGCACGGATAGCATAGATAGAATCCATGCTTAAGTATTTGTATAGCTACCTCCCCTGTGTAAATTATTGTAGTTGTAACTCTTGAACTCACATTTGTTAATTTTATTTTCATTTGCACCCTTGATAATGGCGCCATGACGTCGATGAAACGTCGGCATATTAAATCAGTTCTTCAATTTTTTTTTTAATATCCTTACCATAACTAGTAAATGTTCTTCTTTGAGTCTCAAATGTAAAGTCACTCATGTGAGCTGGTTCAACATAACCTGAAACCAAATCAACAGATTTAATCCTGAGTACAATTGTGCAGTGCTGTCTATAAAAACCAAAATGTAAATAAAAGTAGCAGTTTGGCTATAAACACAAAATTTTTATAAATTCAAGTTACCAGCTAGTGCATTCTTTGGAGCATTTTGCTGCCTAGTTTTAAAGGGATTAGATGGTCCAACCTATCCATAGACAACAGAAAAGCATAGACATATTAATTTATAAAACATAAAATTTACTGCAAAACATAAAAGTTAATTTCAATTAATAAATTACAGTGAAACACTCCAGTCTGAGATTATTTTGGCTGGAAAATCAAATAGAAAAAGACTTGGCAACTACATGAAAATTTGCAGTAAAAGTCTTTGATATATAAGTTGTCTTCTCAGTTGCAAAGCAAGTCAAACATTTTTCTTTGAGCTCTCAAGGTCTAGAATTAACTTGAGATGATACTTGCATAAGATACTCAATCCTTAGCTTTTCTCCATGGTTCAGTGTCCTACATGTGTCACTAAGTGTCTTTCTTTTTCTTCCATAACAATAATTTTATTTATTACACGACTCGGGCAGTCAGAGGGCCAATAACTAAAATCAACCAATCAACCAATCAAAATGCTTGTATTGGACCAGGCACTGTCCCGAATGGTCCCGAATGATACCGCACTTCTGTCCCTTTGAACTTCAGTCGTATAATAAATCTCTTATTAACCAAGCTTGCTTGGGACCGTACTGAAAGAATATCGGCCCTCAGTCTTTTTTGTACCGACCTCGCTGCGCTCAGTCCGTACTGTCAAGACCTTGGGCTGATATTCTCCCAGTATAGCCCTCGCGCTTGGTTAATAAGTTATATTTCACGCGACTTTCTACGATTTTTGAGTCCCCAGGTGGCGAAATAAAAAAAGCTGAGGCTGAAAGCCCTGAAGGTAAATATTTTCCGAGATAAAACTGAGTAGTGCACCATGCACTTCATTTTCACCTCCGGGGAGTACATCTCTTCATATCGCGGGTTGTAAGTGACCTCCTTGGTGGTGGGATCGACTTGTCTAATCACACCGACAGCCTCCTGAGGTATGAAAACAAATCATTTATTAAGCCTGCTTGTAATCCATAGAATTTTTTGGCATCTTGAGAACTGGAAGAATTCACAAAATGGACCCATGCGTCTCTTAACTCCGTATACCAACCTTTGCAGTTACAACCGGAGCACTTTTAACCTGCACTTTGGATTGAAGTTGTGAAATTGAGACATTAGAATTTAGATGTGCCGTATGATCCGCTGTAGTTTCCTCTTCAGGACTTTCTTTTCCTTCAGAATCGCTATCATCACCGTAGGCATTTACAAGGGCNCCATATTAATATATGGAGTTTCGAGATGGTCATAGTTAATTATTTATTTTATATTTTGATTTTTACAACTAGGGCTTACAGGAGTTGTTAGTGAAATGCCAGAGTTTTAACTTTCATAAAAAAGTTTCCTACCTCTTTTTTTGTTAGCGTTCTTTATATTCTGCGGAATGTATTTTTCGCGACTCGTAAAGCTTTCGTCGGCCTGGAGTTTGCATTTGCAACGCCAATTTTTTGTTGGTCTGCAAGTTTGGAAATCTTCTCCAACGTGGTCTAACACCGTTCGTGGATAGGTATTTTTGCTAGCTTAGAGCTGTTTCGTTTCTCTGCCACAGAAAAAATCCACGATCACGACTGGACTTCTAGCCCAAGCCAAATACCAGTCAGCTTGTCTAAGCGAACCCTAATCCCATCGTTTTGTTTCTTCTTTACGATTTTTCCCTCTTTTATTCACCGTTTTACACACTTCGAGCGAGAGACTCTTACGAACAAATTATTATGAAGAAGCAGTGTTTTCTTTCCGGCTAGGGGGCCGAATAACTTCTCCCCGAGTATGGTTTGGAGCTGGAGGACAAGGAGGTTATAACTCTCCATCTAACTTGCAGTTGGGGGTCGAGTAACTCCTCCCCGTGAAATTTCGAATTTTTTCGTTGTTTTTTTAATTTACCCCTTATTATCAACGTTTTTAATCCTTTTATTACCTTTTTTGTGAGCAGCAATTATTTTGGGCCACTGTGAAATTTATTCTGGTACGGTTTTGGTACGTGTCGGTTGCTAATTTTTTTTCATGGTGATACAAGTGGGTTCATCGAAGTCGCAGGTTCGAATGACGCTATGGGAGCTATTCTTGCTCTGGATTGGGGGCCGTATACATTCTCCCCGAGTGTGATTTGGAGCTGGCAGTTGGCAGATCTAGGGGAAATCGCGCTCCGCTGTTCTGCAGCATTTCATAATTCCACCTTTCAGTACACTGTAGCCGTTTACTCGTCGAAACTGTACGGTGTATAACGTTCTTTAAAGAGCGAGCTCTGACATTTAGAGCCAAACTTGTGATTTATCACAAAAATATTATTATATTGGAAACCAAAGGGTAGGAAAAGAGAGAATGGAACAATACGTACGAGGGTTGGGGGGATGGAGCGTCTAGAGCATTTTCAATGATTTATCCACAACCACGTAGCTCGTACGTTCTTGGAAACAGCAGTTGGTCGGTGTAAGTATATGAACAACCCTGTAATAAAGTTTTACTAATGTAGATTGTATTCTGTTATGATGTTGATTTAGTGATAAAATGGATACAGAGAAAGAGCTGTTAACGATAAAGACTGTTTGCCACTTTTCTCAGAACAAAATTGACCAGGAAGGTTGTCATTTGAAACAATGTCGCACAGAAAGTAAAAGTGATATTCAAAACTCTTACAACTTACTCCCTATCCCCAGACAGTGACCAATGATTAGCTTTCTACCTTGACAAGAAAACTTATCCAGTACGAGATCCACGAGCTCTATTTTATTTTTGGTTGTGTGAAAATTGTCATAACAGTGATGATATCTAAAGTGTTGTATTGTCTGCATTAACTTGTTTCTCGAGGCTTCTTTAGTCACATCCTTTGTTAATCTGTGGAGTGTAAAGAATAAAATAAATTAAAGATCACGCGAAGGTTAAATAGTGAAAATGTGCAAAATGATTTTCTAAATCCGAAAAACAATTTTGGAGTATAGATGTTAAGAATAAAAAATGGAAATAGATTTGGAAGCATTCCTGTTCTAGAAAAAGTGCCTGATAACTAGGGAAAATGTTTGCCAGCAAGTTGCACTTCAAGATCGTCGTTGATCATTGTAACGTAATCGCAGCATAAAAGATTCTCGACAGAAATATATTTAGTCTCATGACCTTTACACCTCTCTTTTCATCAGGATCGCGCACTTGACGAAATTGTTTATTTTTCAGGAATAATTGTGTACTTAATCACTCTCCTACAGAGATTACGACCCTTTAAAAACGCTTTACTGCCTTGAAAAACTAAAAATGGTGTATGATAAGCGCGATCGTCGATTCAAAAGAGATGTATTACTTGAATAGTGAACTCCTAATTTATCAGTGTTCGTAATCTATTTTGAATAGAAATAGTAAAGCAAGCAAGAACTGTGTTCTGATTAACCTGTTTGCTATGAACAGGATAAGGAGGGTGGGGAAAGCCAACAGCAGACTTCGTGCCTCTGTCCTCCTAATGTCTCCCCTGTTGATGCCTGCTATGCAGGTTAGCTCTTGTTTTCTATTTTTAAAAAATGTTTCTTTAATACAGTTGTGTTACATACCAGCATGGGGTCGAGTTACATGTTTGTAGTTCCAACGGAACTCCAACGCAGTTGTTTCCTCCATTTGATGGTGTTGGGTTTGTACACATGCGGAATCTTATCTGATTAGCACCTCCACAAGTCACAGGACAGGGGTTCCAGGCTCCCCAGTTTGACCAGCCACCGTCCACGCGCCCTGTGTGGACGAGAAACCATAAAAAAAAAAGTGATGGGAAGAAAAAAAGGATAACTCCTCCGCGCTTGATAACTTGTCACATTTGCACAATCGCTTGCATTTATGAGGAAATAATGATAAAAAAAAGAAAAGTAGAACTGATGAGAAATCAACCGTGTATTTAACAATATTGATATCCCTTTTATACATGATGAAAGAAAATGTAAATGACCAATCAGGAAAACTGTTCTGAGCGATGTAGATCTTTTTATAACTGTTGTGAGGAAATTGATCTCATTCGATCCTAAGTCTTCCGCAGTCCCCAAACCCTCTTTTAAAATAAAAATAAATAAATAAATAAATAAAGAATTTGATTAACTGAGTTTTTCGTTCCACCGTCTGTTTGCTGGATTAGTCCAGAAGTTATAGTGAAAGAGAGCACACCGCTCCGAAAGAGCATCATGAGCTCACCTGGAATCAGTTCGCAGCATCTGATCTGCGTGAGACAGTCTATCGTGGAACATCTTGTTTTGTACAATCCCTTAAGGAACATCCCATTTGGACACCGCTTCATTCCATCTGCTATGAAATTCACAGTGATATCTCTACATGGTCCATCTTGGTCTGGGTGGCTCACAGGTTTACAGCAAACACCCTCGCCAATGTCAGCCAAGAAATTTCTCCCAACAGTGAAAAACCCGCGCAGAAGGTATCCTGGATTCTCGCACAATGCCCACGAATCATGGCTAGTTGGAAATTTTTTAAAAAAATTTACAACTAGCCTTAATATAATTGAATGAAATCGTATATACGGGATGATCGTTTACATTAACGCACACACTTTTTTGCCAGGGAGAGGAGAGAGAGCGCGCTTGAAGATCGACTTCGCAAACATCTCCAAAATATTATGCGGAGATGCTGACTTGGATAAAAAAAACCCATAAAGAAATTACATTCTCAAAAAACTCGGAAGCCATTCGTATTAATTTCGTGGCATCTTGATTTCTTTATTTCTATTGATTTGATGACTAATTAATAATTACTCGGAAGAAATCATGTCGAGTCATAACAACCAGGCAACGGGTAATTGTTGTTAAAGCGTCGCGCAATATTAAATTAAATTGGTTTCGTAGAACCTTCTTCGAAAATTTGTAGATATCAATCAAGGAAAAGGTATATTGTGAGCGATTTCTCAAACCAAGCTTGCGATAAAGCCTAAGCGAATTTCTTTCATTTTCAGACTAATGAGCAACCAGGCACTTTTAAATGCGCTCGTGCACGATGCAAAACGTGTCCTTTCATTCACAACACTGATAAAATATCGGGACCTAAACGATCCATTAAGATCACCGATCACTTCACGTGCACCTCCGCCAATGTAATCTATTGCATAACTTGCACTTATTGCAAAAAGATATACATCGGCGAAACAGGCAGAAGACTAGGTGACCGATTCCGAGAACACCTTCGAGACGTGGAAAGGAATGACAAGGACACATCGAAACCAGTCGCTAGACATTTTAATTTACCTAATCATTCTAAGCAACATATGGCAATCTGCGGTCTTTCCTTGCACTTAGGTGGCACGGAAAGCCGTAAAAATCTTGAACAAAAGCTCATCTTTCAAACCGGCAGTCTAAATCCCACAGGGATCAATGAACGCTTTTCATTCCACTAATTTATTCATGTTTTTCTCGTTGCCATGCACCCACCAATAACGTAGCTCCATTTTCTGCCTTTAAAAGCACACACAACCCACAATTCCTCTATTCGCTCCGACGAAGGGCTAACGCTCGAAACGTCAGCTTTTGTAATCATTACGGTGGCCAATTTACCATTTCAACTTTGTTGATATATCCAAATTATTTCGTTACTCCCACCGACGCAGCCCCAAACAGTTTCTTTCGAAACTATCAGCCTTTATTCATGATTTTATCAGTTGAGCAAGAAGATAGCAGCTAACCTTCCTTTATCAGTTGAGCAAGAAGATAGCAGCTAACCTTCCTTTATCAGTTGAGCAAGAAGATAGCAGCTAACCTTCCTTTATCAGTTGAGCAAGAAGATAGCAGCTAACCTTCCTTTATCAGTTGAGCAAGAAGATATCAGCTAACCTTCCTTTCCTCTGAAGCAAACGTCAGCACCAGCGCAGTACGGTTTATTCAATAGTATATCATCCTTGTCGTGTTC